ATACCAGGTCTTTTATTAATACATATGACAGTATAGCCTCTCATGATATATCAAAGCTCCCTGGTTTCACTGGGACACTAGTCCCTGGTCTAAGTGCTTGCACAGGTCTTGGAGAGAGTGCCAGCATGCCAGATCCCTGGATTCCCGATAACATGCTTGCTACTCATATCCCTGCACATAACCTATCATCTACTGTAGGCACAGATACTCAAGAGGATCTAGATGAAGAGGAGGTGGCAGAGGAGGTGGCAGAGGAAGCCTCGAGGAATTTGCAGGACATTCTCCTCATCACTGATGACTTCTAACAGCTCCAGATTCATGACAATGGTGAAGTGGAGGAGTAGTCTAGTTTACCTATCATGCTGTCACAATGTACTTCGTTTATCATGCTTAGTGTCAAAACGCGCTGTCAATATATCCCATTTAACAAGCTCATCGTGTATGACGACGGGCACAAAGGTTCACACGGCGGGCGCGTGGCAACAGATGGCAGGAACGTTAGCGCCAACATCCCACGCTTACTTACCTATAGCTACTGTTATTATAAGTCGCTCTTTATCCAAGAGATATTGAAGGAGGCTTGGAAGCACTGTAAGTCTGTCATTTTAGACATGCTAGCCCTATCTATAATCACGTCTAATTAGACGCAATACGTGGGAGTCACAGGTGGAGCAAACCACGGTTCTGGATGAGCACACCGACTTTGTCTTTGCCCTTGCAATATCACCGAATGACCACATCCTCGCAAGCATTTCGGGCAACAAGACAGCACAATTGTGGAACCTGGACAATGGACAACCTATCAGTTCGCCTCTCCGACATGCAGAGCAAGTGAACTGCATGTCGTTTTCCGCGGGTGGAAAGCTACTAGCAACTGGCTGCAATGACAAAAATGCATACTCATGGGATGTTGTTGCGATTGTTAGAGAAGCCAGCCTCGATGAACTTCTATCAGATTCAAAGGTGAGTTGATAATCTCATTGTGTTACATTCTCACAACTGAACTCGCTCTACCAGGCCAACAAGTCGGCACTCCATGTACGTAACCTATTCATTCAAAAATATCATTTTATTCAATATATACATTCTAGGCTAGTGCTACACAACGTCCGATCCAGCAACGTCCGCCTGTTCATTGCGTACCCCATGGTTTCTTCGATGGTATCCCACCAGCTCATGTACGTCATTGCTATCACTTTGAGTACCATCCTGACCCTCGCAATTTCAGACCTCAGTGCCACAAGAAACCACACTTTTTGGCCGCTTATTCCATCGCAGCCCCTCCAGTACCCAGGATACGTCATCATCCTCCGCCCTTGGCTGGGCTCGAAAGCTTTTCAAACGGCGCAGACAAAGTGGTGGAGAAATTAGGTTGCAAGGGCGCAGCTCCACAGTTACTGAGGTCCCATATGCGAAGGGCAAACGTGTATGTTATTTCTGTTTCTCAGATGTTCAATTCGACCTGATATCACGTAGAGAAATGCTTCAAAGAGGGAGGTTGCGTTAGCGAAACAGAAACAGAAACAGAAACAGAAAATGAAAGCATTGCACTCGAAGAATTCTACTGTGGGCAGCTCACAGCCTACCAAGCTCAATGTCGCCCAGTCATCTTCGCAACCACAGGCACCTGACTCCTCATCGTCCACTACACCTGCTGCCGGTGATGCCACAGCTACAACTTCAACATCGCCGTCACGCCGTCATGCAACGATAAAAGATGCTGGACTCTGGACTCGCTTCTGGCTCTTTCTCAGTTGTCTCTCTCCTGAATATACGGACGATCATCATTAGATCTTGTTATCCTTCACGACTCGCATACCTTTACATATCTCGATGGACTCTCGTTGATATGCTCTATCACTCCCTCTGATGTATTTCGAACGGTTCTTTATGTATGATACGGATACCAGAACGAATATACGTGTTTGATCTCGTAGGATCAGCTTTCTATACCATCAAGTTCGACATGTCATGGCCGTTATTTTCCTCGTCGGAACAGGACTAAAATGACTGTCCGTTATATCAGCTCTCGTGGACGTCTTTCCTGCAGAATCAAATTCATTACCTGAGACTCAGTTGCTACTGGTGGATTGCAAACCCAAGTATCAGATGGCAGATGCTTTCTCTCTCGTGCTCTGGGACTGTGCACACAGACTCGGATGTCATAGATGATGATGGTACAGGGAGCGGCACCGGCTCAGACCTCTATTACCAACTCCATTTCATCCATCAACGCTCCCTCATCGAACTTGGTCCGAGAATCTGTCCTTGGTGTTCCATTCGGTGCAGGGACGTACAAGCACGGTGCAAAGTACGTGTCTTTGTTGGAGAGGAAGAGACTTGATCACGTCGATGTGGCCAACGAACGTTGGCGAATGAGCAGGGGGTGCAAGTATAGCAGGATGACGGAATTGAATGATCAGGCGCTTGTGCATGCTGTTGTAGACGCCATCGCCTTTGGGTATGCAGAGCGATTACAAACGTGAATCTGATCGCTTTATCGCTCACACAACTAACCCAGGCAAAAGCATGAATCAGTCAAGTTCATTCATGCGATATCTACTACAACGGAGAAGTAGGAGGACATATCAATACTCGTGTGGATATTCATCACAGATGTCCAATCAATTTCATCGCCCAGTCGCTCGTGAAGCCAGCCAGCCTAAGGGGCGTTACATTGGTAATCAAGACTTGAAGGACGAGACGAGGATAATTATCACTCCCGATTTCCAAAAGGAGGGCCAGCTGCTGACCTGAGCTGCGGGCACAGCCTGGGTAGATCACAGGGCACAATTAACGATATGTACCATGCGACATTTGAAACGTTTCAGGTCAGATGTATGGCAACTCTTTGATGGACTTGCCATGCCAGCTTGCTCTCGGACATGTTTGGTTTACTTTTCGCCATTACCGTGACTAGTCTCGCAGCTGGGTCATGGTACCCTCATTCACCATGCAACGTCGCAGAAACAGCGTCTCTCGCATAACTTACGGATGCAGCAGTAGATCGTATCCCTCTCCTTTTCAAGCAACTATGAAATATGTCAAAATGGAGGATGTTTTCCTGGACACGATCCTGTTACAATTGAGAAGAGTTGCATCGAAGATCTGCGAGCGTGTAGATCTCTGTGGGTGCAATACAGCGTCATCGAAAGCATGCTGAAAAGGAAAACCCCATCCCATATTCTACTGAACAACGGAATAGTCTGGACGCCGAGAATGGTCATTTCTGTGACTAATTCATCCATTGAATCCCGGAGGGAGATAACCTGTACACTGCTATTCTATGTTAGTGGAGAGGCGAACAGTTAAATATGCGTTTCATGTCTTGGTGTACCCTTCTTCTCCATCAATCCGAATTGTTCACCTACCAGACTCTGTGCATATCTCACTCTCCATCATGCCTGAAAATAGTGCCGATAGTGCTACTCCTTCAGCAGCTGAAATCGATCTACAAGGACTTGAACTGGCAGAACATCACTTTGGTCCCTTACTTTGCCCAACTCGCGCTACACAGAGCGCGTGGACCAATTATTCCATCACTCGCCTTCAAACTAATGAAAGGTACCGCACAACATCACGCAAGGGCTGTGAGGAAGACACTGGGGAGTATGACTACGACGAGCACTCCAACGAAGCTTGGCTTTTCGACCATGTCAAAGCCTGTGTTTCTCGACTCGAGAAGGAAATGGACTTGGAGGATGGCATCCTCCAGAAATGCATCACTGTTTTAAGCCACGAAACGGTATTCGACGAGGAAGTGCGTGCAGCTTGTTAACACCATATTCCATTACTGACATCTATGGTGATCGACAGCCACGCTACATAATCAGGATCTACTCACCCACCGCACCAATGTACATTGATGTGAATTTTCAATACTACTGCCGTTCGCGTTGGTCGGAGATCGAGTGGTTCTGCTCTTTCGGGTACAAGATCCAACATCGCTCATCTGCGACGGCAGGCAATGCACTTGCTATCAAAAAAGTGCTCAGCAAGCGCAGTCCTCCAAATGTGCACACACGCAATGGGTGGCAGACCTTGTGCTGGGGTCACTATGAAGGCTCCGATGAAAACTATGCTGAATATTGGCCCCGCACCAAGTGTGGAAAAGTAGAGTTGGACGAAGACGGGGTAATGGACATTTACGAGGCGTTGTTCGGAGAATTGGAAAAACCTGCTGAAACGGACTTGAAGGCCATGCTTGCATATCGATGATCACTTGTAAGGGCCATGCGATTGCTCCTCGCTGCTGTCGGTATGTCATATAACGTTGCGTGTACTGATGATGAAAGTGACGGAGGGCCACATGAGTTGATGATTGAGGGGCCGGGCAATAAGTGGGTTGGGCGGGGGATACGCAACGCATGTGGTCTCCGACTCACCAGAGATACAGAAGATGAGCGGGAAGGTGCCCAGGAACGACAGGAAGAGGTAGAAGGTTACGAGGATGATGACGAGGATGGTGAGGATGACGACGACGAAGGGGATTATGACTCTGACTATGGCTTCTGAGGATCGTGGACGGGTAGGAGGTGACGGTGAGGAGATTGAGGATGATAATTTTTGAAGTGTACTGGCCTAGTGCCGGAAAGCAGTTGCGTTCCAACGAATAACGAGTATGCCAATAATGAATACTTATGATATTAGTACGTTTGCAGCTAGCACCTGTCATAATTCTCGAGGTATTTTTTGTTGTTCATGTCAAGTCCGTTTGTGCGATACAAGTTGCAATAGAGAAGTAGGAGAATATATCAGGTTGTGCGGACATATCCATGGGATTATCACAGACGTCTAAGTGAAGTACGAATCAATAAAGTCTATATCTGTGATAACTACATCGAGAAAATAGGCGATTAACAGATCATACGAACGTCCATCACAGACGTCCAGTCCAATCCAGAGCTTGGCATGTGATATGAAAAAAGGACAGTTCGAAACATAGCAGAGGCAGACACCATCGATTGGGCGGTCTTCGGGGTATGGGATGGTCTAGGTGTGGTGCACGAGCAGCTGGGATGATGCGTGCTACGTGGATTGTTAGGGGTGGAGCGGTGGGCGACGAATGTGACCTTCGGAATATCAGCGGTTGCGGAACCATCTACAAGTCTATATCAAATGAAAGATTAAAGAAGTCGATGCATCTTTATCTCCCAAGGCGACACACACACCTATTTCTGTCCAGCCATCAGGGGAGATAGGCATTATCAGAGGACGTTTTCAAAGGTAGTCACGGATGAATAGATGTACCTGTGATATTTGAATGGGTTAATGTAACATGGTCAGACTGCCGCCCGCATAACCGTTACACCAAAAGGTGAAATACTGAAAGCTTAGCTTTCAGCATCAGCGACAGTATATGTACTGATTATGGGAACTCAGGTAAGCCGGCGTGCTTACAGTTAACTGAGAACGCTGCGCATGGCCCACGTGGGCAAATGACGAAGGCAGAAGATGTTATAACGAAATGGAGAATGCAGACTCGAATGCAGGAACTGCAGCAACTGATGAACATGTCATATATTGGAAATGTTGTTTGAGAGTCACGGGATGTGACCCGAGGCAGATGATGCTTGGGCGCTTCAGATGCACAGCCTATGCTGTGTATATGCTGTGGAGTGAACATGAGGATAAAGCATGTAAAAACGTACCAGAAAACAGTGAAGTCAACTCTGGCTTGATCCAAACAACCATTATTCCCTGTTGCCCGCACATCGCTTCTGAGAGACCTTCTTGTGAGTGATGACCCTGAAATTTGATCGATGAAAGCTGAGATGGTGCTGCATTCAGCAGTTGGAAATTTTGGGGCATGGCTTCATCAACCGCTAAAACGAAAGAAATATCAGCGATAACACCTCGCCAGAAGTTTGAAGGACACACTGATTATGTCTGGGGTGTCATACACCTGGCAGGTGGACAGAGGATCATCTCTTGTTCACACGACGGCTCGCTGCGGGTATGGAACTTGAAGAGCGGGGAACAGATCGGAGAAGACTGGAGGGACGGAGAAAGTAAAGTGGAGAGCATAGCGTTGTCTCCGGACGGGAAGACAGTGGTTAGCGGGAGTAAGGATGGTGCAGTGAGATTGTGGGACATTGACACATGCAAAGTGATCACGAAATGGACGGGGCATACTCAGGAAGTGGTGTCTGTCTACTGGAGTCGAGATGGTCGAAGAGTGTTAAGCGGATCTGAGGATGGGACTGCAAGGCAATGGGGCGTGGAAAGTGGGGGGACGCGGGACGTAGAAAGCGGAGAAACCGTACTTGCATCGATCAAGACAAGACACGAATTCGTGTGGGCAGTCGTCTATTCACCAGACATGTCCTTGATTGCGACTGGTGGACAAGATGGACTACCCGAGTCCTCAATTCGAATCTGGGACGCAAAGACAGGCAAGCTTGTCGCAACTCTCAAGGGACATACAAAGGAAGTGCGTTGCCTGGCTTGGACCAAGGACGGAAAAACGCTCGTCTCCGGGTCATTCGATTACTCCATTAGGACATGGAATACAACCAAGTGGGAGCAAACCGCGGTTCTGGATGAGCACACCAGCTGTGTCATGGCCATTGCAATATCACCGAATGACCGCATCCTCGCAAGCACATCGTCCGACAACACAGCGCGATTGTGGAACCTTGATAATGGACAACCCATCAGTTCGCCCCTCCAGCACGCACAGCAAGTGAACTGCGTGTCGTTTTCCACGGATGGAAAGCTACTAGCAACTGGCTGCGATGACAAAAACGCGTACTCATGGGATGTTGTTGCGATTGTTAGAGAAGCTGGCCTCGACGAACTTCTATCAGATTCAAAGGTGAGTCGATAGTCTCATTGTATTGCATTCTCACAACTGAACTAGCTCTACTAGGCCAACAGGTCGGCACTCCACGTACGTGCACACACCTTCATTCAGAAATCTCATTTTATTCAACATATACACTCTAGGCTAATGCTGTACGACGGCCGATCCAACAACGTCTGCCTGCTGGTCGTGTACCCCATGGTTTTTTCAACGGAGCGCCACCAGACCGTTCTCACGTATGTCATCACCATCAATTTGAGTATTTTTCTGACCTCCACGATCTCAGTTCTCAGCACCACGAGAAACCACATTTCTCCGGCGTTTATTCCACCACAGCCCCTCCAGCGCCCAGGATACACTACCGTCCTCTCCTCTCGACTGGGCTCGAAACCTTTTCAAATGGCGCGGAAAAAGTGGTGAAGAAATTGAGTTGCAGGGGTGCAGCTCCACAGCTATCGAGGTCCCGTATACTCAGGGCAAACGTGTATGTTATTTCTGCTTCTCGGACATTCAACTTGACCTGATGTAACGTAGAGAAACGCTTCAGCGAGGGATGCTGCGTTAACAAAACAGCGACAACAGAAAATGAAACCATTGCCCTCGAAGAACTCTACTGCAGGCAGCTCACAGCCTGCCAAGCCCAATAGCGTTAATCCATCTTCGCAACCACAATCTTCGTCATCCACCACACCTGCTGCCAGCGATCCTATTACAGTTACAAGTTCAACACCACCGTCACGCCGTTATGCAACAATCAAAGATGCTAGACTCTGGACTCGCTTCTGGCTCTTTCTTGGTTGTCTCTCTCCTGAATATACGGATGATCATCATTAGATCTTACCATCTTTCACGAGTCACATGGCTTTACATCTCTCGACGGACTCTCATTGATGCCCTCTGATGTATTTCGAACGTACAATACTAATACCAAACGCCTCACAATCTCCGTCTGCAATGTATACTACCCATGCAATATCCGGTCACAGTTACGCACACCCCGACGAACGAACGATCGCCTGATATCGGAATTCGTTAACGATAATGGTGTGGTGTTAAAACAAAAATCAAATGTCACTTTGTCACATTCCCCACTGCATCACACTACGACCTCACAGTCCCACCTAACTTCTCCCACTCGTCAATCTGAAATTCATGTTCTCCTCTCCCTGCGTCACTCCAATCCCTCCCAGGAATCCCTAAAGGCTGCGTTTCTGTACATATGAAACGCTCTGTTGCAGTTCGTTGTGAACGCATATAGAATCCTAAGTAATTCCGTCGTCAATATCAATCCAAGCTCATACGGGAGTGGAAGGAAGAAGAAAAGGTGGGATCGTACTCACCTAACAACATTCTCTTGAAATTCCTCATCCTTTTCCACCTCCCTGTCGACACCAAATGGGACAGGTTCGATCAAGGCTGATATCAACGCATCAAGTAAAAACAAGGACCCTCCTCCTGAATCGCAGCGAGCATGAGAGCAGATGTAGAGACAGGTGACGGATCAGAGAACATCGAAGCATGGGAATTTCGAGGTGGTGCGGTTTCTGAAGTTGGGAGGCTTATGTTTGACTGGAGGTTAGCTTGAGAGGAGTTTGGGAGGAGTGTGTTGAGCAGGAACATTGTTTTTCTGCGGACATGGATTTTTGAGTCTACTCGTCGCGCGTGTGTGTGAGTGTCATCATGAAAAGAGGATAGGAATTGTGGGAGGATACGCACCTTCCAAATACATCTTCAACACGCTCCATCCACCCACCACGCCCATCTGTTTCACAGCAGTAGCGTTTGGTTTCGGGAGCACAGAAAGCGCATATAGGGCTTATGAGCAGGTTTCGGTGGAGTTTGATGAGCAGAAGAGGTACTTGAGGAGTGTGGGAAGGGGATCGAGGTTGAGGTACTGTTAGTTAGGACGAACTGAATTGGCATTGAATTTGGATTATAGGCCAGGTGGTGCTCTAGGTTTTTTCATGTCAAACCAAGATCGCCATCCGGCCAATAACCCACATCCAAATTCAGAGGAGGACTTATGGCGAGTTGAGCGCTGAATAGCTGGGTTGTTTTGTAGTACGGTTCCGATTATCCACAGGGTTTGTATTTTGAGGGTGTCGCTTGTATTGGATATAGGGACTGCCATGACCCCCAGGTCGGTATCACGTTGCTTGTTAGGTGGCACATCAATCAATCCACTGGAGTATAATCACCATTTGCATTATCGATATTCTGAACTAGCTATATTCCATCGTAAGCAACCGCATACAACATTCGACCATGGGACGCACCATCTCGAGATCATCAAGGCCTTTAGTCTATCATCTTCAGTCTGCCTTTCATCGAGGCCAATTGTAAGAGCTTCTTTCATGAGTTGGGCATCTGGTTTAATCACCAAGGACGTGATCATTCCGGGATCAAGTGTATTGATGGTGGTGCCCGGGGTGGAGTTTTCTATATTCCATCGGAGGAGACGTTTTTGTCCTGGTTTACCCAAAAGAGTTCTTGAACATGTTTTAAGTATTCGATCAGAGATCCGGTGGTTGGGCGACTTGGACATAATCTAGTTGAAGTTCTCGCGGAGTTCAAGCTGAAATAGCGGCTTGCTCGGTCCGGCTGTGTGTTCTCGCGACCTGCTGGACGTCACGCTCAACCAGTTCATACGGACGACGACGTGCCGTGTGAGTTCTACCAAAGGCTGGATGTCGGTGCAATTGGCTCAATGTTTTGACTCATATGTCTTTCCCCGATGTCACCTAAGCTAAGCTTCTCCTTGCACCTCAACTCCATTCCCACTCCCGTCTTTTCCTACCACTCATTCCGCGCCACCCAGCCCATACCTAACTCTCCTTGTCACTGTAGCCAATATACCAGGCTTCAATGTGAGCAAATCTATACGATCTTGGTATTCATCATGATCTTCTAGCTCTATCCACAGTCATGAGCGGAAGGTATCTCAAACTTCCTTCCTTCTGCATACACGCACGTATTTACATGTAAGTCAGTGGTGACCCGAAGATACGCTGGAAGTGAACTGTCCAAATCCTATCATTTGATAGTTGACAATACCAAAACCTTGTAAAAATTTCCAGAGACTTTTGGATGTGTTTCTCGTGCTCATCGTTCGGTTTCAGGCCACCAGATGACTTACCTAGATTACCATCCGAGATGATAACACCCTTAAAACACCGAATGCTGGGGCATTAAGAGGTGATGAGCAAATGTTGTAGCACGAACTACTCGATTATGGAGACAAACTTTCCGGTGAGCAGTCCGCTTCACATTTTGTATATCTATTGACTTATCGTAGATCTGACCTTCTCACTCATTCGTGATGTCCGCCCTTCTTTCACACTGAAGGTCGCTGTTGTGCAGAGTCGCGAAAATCAGATAGTGAACTGCTTGATGTAAGCGACACCAGCCTCTGGGCCTCTGATTTCTACTAACAAAATGCAATAGGCAGTCCATTTTTTCCATGCAACATGTCTTGATGTACACGTGCATGTGCATACTCCTCCTGGATGTTTAGTGTTCGATCTTTTGTAGAGCCTCTGTTGATCTCGAGGCTGACAGAAAATCCATCACACCATCCAGACGAGATTCAAGGGCCGTACGCTAATTTATATTATCCGTGTGTTTTGTCCTGTCTGCTCTTGGTGAAAGACCGTAATGTGATCATACCTCGGACGTGCCTCTTCATACCATCGTATTTCGGTGCTCAACGGTGGCCTTGTTACAGTAGTAGGTTGCTATGAGCGTCTTCAGGAATTCAGCACTCCATCTGCTCTTTTCAATGTGGACAGATGTGCGAGAGGATTATCTTGAAACGAGTAGGCAGGTTTACACGTTGGATGCTGTGATTGATCTTTTGATGTCGTTCGAAGACTCGCACATATGGGAGACTGCAATTGATTGGAAAATACCCAACAGTGCGTACACCAGTTGTCGACTTACTGACTGACCTCATGCTGGTGCCCCATTCTCCACTCCCCCTCACCTGGACTTCAGGCACTCCCCATATCCTTACTTCCCGTCTTCTACTACTAATTCCACTCACAGCTTAGCCCGTCCTTAGCTTTTCTTGCCATGCCTCATTACACAATCACATCTGGTAGCTGGGAAGGTCGATGTATTAGACTCTAAAACAGGTCACTCTACATCATCTTTGTATTTGTTCTGTGACTGATCCTCGTCATCGTACCGCATCTACAGTCATCGACTTCAAGTCTCTTCCAAGCGCATACTCGCATACATTTACACGTCCATTAATGTCGACTCGGCTCAGCTCTGGAGATCAGCCTTCCGAGTGCCATCATCTGACAAAGTTGAAGTGTTGAGTGATATTAAGCTTTGTCAAGTGCATAAAGACTTTCAGATGTGATCCAAGAACTGATCATCGCACGAGGCGCTTGAATTGTTGGTAGAGATCAAGCGGTTCTATATTCAAGCTTACAGCAAGAATACAAATTCGTGTCGTAAGTACTTCAGCCATATGTATTCAACTGTTTTGAGATGTTCCTCTATTTCAAGATCTCCATTACTCGAGCGGCGGTGAAATTTGTTCAGAAGCAAGTACATCGATCAACTCTGCAACGAACTACGCAATGCGTCATGCCTTCAGCTATACGAAAGCAGAAACACGACTTACTGTGGTTCACTGTTGCAACATGTTACTTACTCACAATAATCGACGACTGTATTCTACCGCACGGGTGAGTCATGTGAACAAATCCAGGGCGCAAATTGCCGATACTCACAAGCTCTTGAACCCATGTCGGCACACACTTCTGACCAGCGCAACACTGGACTTCATTGCAAAGGCTGGGACAATTTTCACCTGCAGCGTCACTGGTAGATGCTGACGCCGCTAGAGCAGTAACAACGGCGAAGACGAAGGAGAAACGCATTGTTTGTGAGGGTGTGATATGGGATCAAATAAATCTGAAGGGAACGGTAGAAAGATAGCTTGCTTTTATGTGCTGAATTTTGTGCTAGCAGAACTTCGTGGCAATGTAGGAAGAACCTATCCACCTGAAATCCCCTTTCGAATAGGTGATATCAGCTTGCCAACAGATTGCCAGCAGACCTCAACATTGGCCTGCTCTCGGGCTGTCGCCGGTATTATATTAGCAGAAGAGCTCGATAAAATTTGTATCCTCACCAAGCACAATGCCATTGTTGATGTGTCACCTCCTCGCACGTTCCAACGATGGTTCCACTGGCGAATGAATATATTTGTTTTTGACACCGGGATAGATCCTCCCTTGCCAGTCTACGGTGTTCGCAGGTCTCGTCAGCGGACTATCTCGCCTCCCCGTGTCTCTTCACACTAGCATCAGACAGGGTTGGAGCACAACAGGGCCAGCACACATTGTGTGACCTACTTAGAAGGAACAGCGTTCCTTGGGAAATAAAGCCGTTTCGTTTCCCGAGACTGGTCCGGGAGAGAAGAGTGTATTCGGTTGAAGGATATTCATGTCAAGGTGCTCCATTCTCACGTACACTGCTGGCATACTCGTGAATATTAGGAGATGGCTTGGGCGTGCGGGCTGTGCGAATGACAAGGGACTATGATTGTACTCACAATTGACAGCAGCTGACATTGAAAACGCATCAGATAGGTTGGTATGGAACGGCCTCTCGTCTTCCCTGGTGTCGAGAACTAGTCAATCATGGACTGAAGCTGAACAAAACGTGACCCTGTTATGCTTGGGCGCTCCGGTTGCACAGCATAAGCTGTGAAGCGAACACGAGGATGAAGCATGTGCAACGTACAAGGAGCCTCGGAGGCAGTAAATCTAACTCTGACTTAACCAAATCGTCCATTGTGTCCTTCTCTCCACCTGTCGTTGTTGTCTTCGTAAGTGATGATTTTGAAATTTAACAGATGAAAGCTAAGATGGCGCTCACTCTGTAGTAGGAATTCTAAAGCATGGCTTCATCCAGCACGAAAACGAAAGGGACATCAGCGATAACGCCTCGCCAAAAATTTGAAGGACACACCGATAGTGTCTGGGGCATCATACACCTGCCAGGCGGACAGCGGGTCATCACTTGCTCGTTGGATGACTCGCTGCGGGTATGGAACTTGAAGAGCGGGAAACAGATAGGAGAAGACTGGCGGGATGGAGAAAGTGCAGTAAACAGAATAGCATTGTCTCCGGACGGGAAGAAAGTGGTTAGCGGGAGTAAGGATGGTGCAGTGAGGTTGTGGGACATCGACACATGCAAGATCATTACTAAATGGAGGGAGCACACAGGGGCAGTGGTGTCTGTCTGCTGGAGTCGAGATGGTCGGAGAGTGTTAAGCGGATCCGAGGATGGAACCGCAAGACAATGGAACGTGGAAAGTGGGGAGATAGTACGGGACGAGGAAAGCGGAGAAACCATACTTGCATCGATCAAGACAGGACACAACCAAGTGTGGGCAGTTGTCTATTCACCAGACATGTCCTTGATTGCAACTGGTGGACGTGATGGGCTCCATACTGGAAAACCCGAGTCCTCAATTCAAATCTGGGACACAAAGACAGGCAAGCTTGTCGCAACTCTCAAGGGACATACAAACTCTGTGCATTGCCTGGCTTGGACCAAGGACGGAAAGACACTTATCTCCGGGTCATACGATAACACTATTAGGACATGGAATACAACCAAGTGGGAGCAATCCGTGGTTCTGGCTGAGCACACCAACTATGTCTTTGCCCTTGCAATATCACCAAATGGCTGCATCCTCGCAAGTGCATCAATGGACAATACAGCGCGATTGTGGAACCTCGATAATGGACAACCCATCAGTTCGCCACTCCAGCACGCACAGCCAGTGCAGTGCGTATCCTTTTCCGCGGGTGGAAAGCTACTAGCAACCGGTTCCAATGACAAAAATGCGTACTCATGGGACGTTGCTGTGATTGTTAGAGAAGCTGGACTTGACGAACTTCTGTCAAATTCAAAGGTGAGCTGACAGGCATGTCTCATCCATCTCATTCTCACAACCGATTCGCTCTACCAGGCCAACAAATCGGTACTCAGTGTGCGTAACACCTCCATTCAAAGATTTCGTCATGCTCAACATACGTACTCTAGGCTTATGCCACACGACGTCCGATCCAGCAACATCCACCTGTTTATCGTGCACCCCATGCTTTTTTCGATGGATACCTACCAGCCCATGTATGTCATCACCGTGATTTTGAGTATTATCCTGACCTCCGCGGTTGCAGTCCTCAGCACCACAAGAAACCACACTTCTCAGACGTTTATTCCACCGCAACCGCAGCCCATCCAGTACCCATGATGCATCACTGTCCTCTCCTCCCGATTGGGTTCCAAACCTTTTCAAACGGCGCGGACAAAGTGATGAAGGTATCGAATTGCACACGCACAGCCCAGCAGCTGTTGAGGTTCCATATGCGAAGGGGAAACGTGTATGTTCTTTCTGCCTCTCGGATGTTTGACTCGATCTGATGTTATGTAGAGAAACGCTTCAGCGAGGGAGGTTGCGTTAGCGAAACAGAAACAGAAATTGAAACCACTGCCCTTGAAGAACTCTACTGCAGGCAGCTCGCGCCCTCAAAAGCCCAATGTCACCCAGCCATCTTCGCAACCACAGGCTGCTGTCCCCAGTTCATCCACCACACCTGACGTCGGCAATGCTACTGACATAGCCACGACTTCAACACCCTCACACCCAGATGCAACGATAAGACAGGCTGGACTCTGGACTCGTTTCCGGCTCTTTATTGTTTGTCTCTCCCCTGAATATACGGACGGCCATCATTAGATCTTCGTCCATGAGTCGCATGCCTTCACATCGACGGACTCTTGTTGATATGCTCTACCGACTCACCCACTCCCTCTGATGTACCTCGAACCATCCTTGTACGATACAGATCCCACACGCCTTGTCGTCTCCTTCTGCATCATTAATGTATACTACCCCCACGTCATGCAAATCACGGCTACGCACATTTTGACCAACGAACGATCGTCCGATATCAGCATCCATTAACATTAGTAGTGTGATGTAGTGCTAGAACAAATCAAATCAAATGCCATTTCACCCCAAGTACGATTTCCCATCGCACACATCGAACTACGACCTTACAGCCTCACTCAGCTTCTCCTATTCCCCACTCATCAATCCAAAATTCACATTCACCTCTCCTTGCGTCACTCAAATCCCTCCTAAGAACACCCAAAGACTTGGTTTCTGCACAGTTAAAAAAGCGCCATTGAAGCTTGTTGTGAACGTATACAAAGTC